GCTTCAAGAGTGTGCATCTGCACAAGAAGCTCTTTTCTTCTACTGCAATTCCAGTTCAAAATTACATCTGCCATGTTCTGAAATGGCTTCTAGTGTCCCTCAGAATCTTCTGGCCTTTTCCTGCTCTTCAGGGATAGGCGGAGAGTTTGTAAACTCACTCAGGAAGGTAGATTAAACACAGGATATAATGCACTAAGGTTACCAAAGAGCAAACAAAGTAGAAAACAAAAGCTGCTAGTGTTCAGGCACAAGGGCAGGAACAGGTGCTAATTCCACACCAATCAACTTCCTTGTAGGGGAATAAAATCCTTTTACAAACAAACCTTCTCAAAGCTTTCTCCTTCACTTTAAAACTCCCTATTTATCCTGCCCCTCTCTGTCAGAGATGTGGAGTCACATTTCACCTCTTCCAAACAGCATCTTCATCTGTCTGAGAAATACCTAGCACATTTTTAGGTGCTCTTGTAATCTAAAGAAGAAGAAGAATCACCAATCTCAGCAGTGCAACTTCTTATAGGGACCATTCAGCTCTTTCCTCTGTATTTGAAGCAATGCCCCACAAGACCTCCCTTAGATGGCTTCTCTCTATTCTGCATGTCCTGTGTGAGCAGACTAACAACCAGTTCCAGCAAGAGACCAGATTAAAAGTCCTGGAATCCTAGACAGGAAAAGGATTTCTAAAAGATTCTTTTCATAGGCTAGCACTGAGTCAGAAATGTCTGTTTACCAAGGGCCTGTCTCCAGCAGAAATTTTTTTTACTGAGGACTGGTGTGCAAATAACTAAAGCAACAGATTATTTAGAAACTGGAGCAAATATAATAGGAACTTGGGACAGGCCTGCACTGAATGAGAGGAAAAAGCAGTGACACTCTCGTTAGTTAAAATGAAGACAGCATTTCCAGTCTGCAGCCTTATTTTCAGTTCTTATAACTCTGATAGGAAAATCTGAAAGCAACCAGTATTACTATAGATATTAAATGTATCAGCAGAGTATGTACAATTTTTTAAATTATGTATGCATGCAGGAGTGGGAATGACAACAATCCACTCAGGAGCCTGGTTACTCAAACTGCATTGTGATCTTGTCCTGTTTATAGAAGATACTTTGACAGGGAGAAAATGGGGGAATTTCTCCCTCTGTTTGTGAGACTATGCAGCTGGTCCCTTTCCAACGCCCACCCTCCCAGAACCCACTACCTCCCTGATGCACACCGTGTGTGTACAGAATGGTGGGGTTGGGGGCAACCTCCCCACTAAGTTTGGTGGCTTCCTGAAGCATGTGACTGTGTACGTTATGGAGTATGTATTGGAATGGGGGAACTCTCCTCCCCTGCTCTGTGTCTTCATCCCCATTACCCTGAAGAGCCAGGTTACTCCCTGAAGCATACTGTTCTAAGCTTGTGTGTGTGCTGAGGAATTGGGGGCGGGAGATTCCCCTCCCACATACAACAAGACTGGTTATTCTCAGAAGCACATTATCCATGACCCTGACATCTTGGGGAGTCCAGGGAAGTTGCAGACCACAAGGAATTCTCTGCTCCATCCTGACACAGTCAGGTCTGACCCTGGTCTCGAGGGCTGAGTCTGACTTCCTGCAAAGAGCTTACAACAGAAGTTCCTATATTTCTTCTCCTGATTAAAAACAAGTAACATGTTCTTCCTTGGTGCTTACATTTCAAACCAGCTCAAGGAACCTTTGATCCTGGTTCCTCTTGTTCCAGTAGTGCATTACAGACACCCAGCTAATGAGCCAACAAACCGGGAGCTGACTCCCCGCCTGATAGCAAGCTGCAACAGTTCTGAGTAGTACTTCATTCAAGGAGAAGCTTCTTCAGCGAAAATATTAATACCAGCTATTCTGCAGTGGCAGAGTGCAGGTTAGTCTGGGACAGTACACCGGACACATTCACCTTCAGGGGAAAACATCCATTTCCATACCACTTCTTCAGGCAGGTGCTGTCATCTTACTTGCCTGATGATGATAGTGTAAAGTAGCAAGAAGATAGCCCTATTTGCCTCTTGTTACCATCTCACATGCTTCCAGAGAGGAATGGCTGGAGAAGGACAATGTCCTATGTACCCTCCCCCTCACAAGAAATGACAACATGCTCTCATTCGTGAGTGCAAACAATTCCATACACGTCTTCCTGAAATCTACAGCAACCCATCCCTTTTCTCCATACCAATGAGAAAAGATGAGAATACTCCAGTGGAGTAAGATATTTCTCTAACCTGAATTACCATGCTTCTTCTTTCCCTGTGACCCTAGTTCAGGGGACTCATCAGGTACGAAATAGGATGTACTTCCAACTGCACCACAGGCAACTACTCACTTTTGCACACCCATTCCAGTTCTATATAACTTTTACATATGCATCAGCACAGAAGAGGAGAGTATAATTCACTTTACAAGCCAGAGAGCCTGAAGTACACTTACTCCAAAGAATCTGAATTCCTGGTGGGCGGTTGTCCAGGAGCAGGTGCTGTCTTTGTTGATGCCCAGTCCAACAAACCCTGTTCACTCTTCTGGTCTTAAAGCCGAAGACCCATATTCAATCCTTTTCTAAATTAGAGGGTCCTGACCATATCTCCTCCATCTCAGAACAAACAAGATCCATTGTTTGACATAAAATTAATAGGATTATTCCTCTCTGCAGCCACTCTCTTGGAGCTCTGTTCCACTCCCCACAAGATGATTAGCTGTGTGCTTAAGGAGGAGGTGGAACAGATTTGCTTCTGCTGGCAGTGAAGCCGGGAGGCAGGCGCTGAGTGTAATAATATGCTGTTTCCTGTCTTATGCCAGAACTGAGAGGTACGTCCCAACGGAGAGGGGGGTGGAGAGGAGTTTATGGAGGCGTCCAAGAGTTCAAGCTCCACCTCTTCAACAAAGCAGACTTTAACAGCAGAGGAGGGCTAGTGGCAGCCCCGTTGAGTGCTGTGTCTGTGCATCAGCTGCAAACAGCAGCTTTCAGGACAGTATCAATACAGAGGGATCAAACCACTAAGGATGAGACCCACACCCACACCCCCACACCCACCCACCATCTGGGAACTTTCTCCTGCAGAATCACTAGGCTCTGAGTAAACTCAGACGATGAATTGATGTTGAAATCTGCATAAAGGTCACTAGAAGCAGAAGTTGGGTGAAAGTCCAGACAGATCCCAGAAAAGAATGTCTGCTAGAAACAACTGGAAAATCAGTTCCAGAGCTGTTGGCTGGAAGTGACACAGGATTTGTGGCTGGAAAGATCCAATGGCCCATCTAGTCCATCCCGTTATGGCAGGTACATTTTACTCTTCAGGAAATACACAATAGAATTTTTTATTTCAGCCCTGGGCTTTCCTATAAAAAGCATTTGTTAACCGCTCCCATCACACCACTTGGCTCCGCAGCCAAATCTGGGATCAGAGTGTTTCCCAATAAGCATTCTAACTCTTATTTCCAGTTCAAACCTAGGAGACATACACTAAAGAAATCTAAATAAGATAAGTAAATAAATTAAATCACATTATACCCCTTCCTTGCTCTATTTCTCCCTTTTAGCTACCTCTACACAGCAAAGAAATCAGCTGCCAGATATTACCAATGTCTTACATAAAAGACTTATCAGTGTCTTTATATCTGAATGTTATTCCTTTATTTATGCAACAGATCACCATGTTGGCCCTGGACTGCTGCAGAGCACTGATCCGTTCACACAAGCATTCTTTGTTCTTGTTGCCTCTCCCCAAACATATCATCTTACAATTCCAACATTTAAAAACATCTTCCCTTCTTTTGCCCATTTCCCTGATTTATGGGTGCTACCTTTTCCTTGGGCTAAAACCAAATCAAGCCACTCTCCTCCCAAAATGGAACCAAGATCTGTTGTGCTAGTTATCTTAGAGCTTGTCTATATGAACATTTAGTTTGCAGTGAGCGGGGATGTAAATCTACACCAGACTAGCCTGCCATGGACTAACTGTCCTTGTGGACCCTGCTGCAGTGCATTAACAGTTTGTTAGTTTGCTTTGATCTAATCCCGTTTCAAAGATGACTAGATCAAAGTGAATTAGCAAACTGTTAATGCACTGCAGCAGGGTGCACACAGACAGTCGGTGGCAAGCTAGTGTGGGGGTAGTTTCACATCCCAGCTTGCTGTAAATTAAATGTTGGTATAGACAAAGCCCTTAATCTTCAGGTACTTCTCCTGACTGCCTGATCTCTCCTGATCCTGTGGCTTCTCTTCACACCAGGTATCCCTCCTTCCACTCTCATTCTTGCTTCTTTTACTCCTTGCTTTGTCTCCCTTCCTCCCAGTGTTCTGTCCCCTCTTTCCTCACAACCTCATCCCTAACTTTTCCTCCTACTCCAGTCACTCCTTCCCTGTGTTTTTTGCGATCTCCTCCCTGCTTGCCATCTCCTTCATTAGCTCCCATGCTTCCTCCTATCAAAGAGTGTTGTTTATGCAGCTCTCACACAAATGATCCACTCTTTAGTGCCGCTAACTGTACCACTCTTTGTAAGACAGGAGGACAGAGTAGGGTGTTGAGCTCTGGCCAGCTTGGAGATCAGATGTAGTGTAAAGAAACAAGTCACCCTGCCTAAATCCAGGAAGATGGCAACCTTTTTAGTATTAAGGGTAGGTGACATGGTCAGTAGATTTAGGAGCAGAGGCAATACTAAGTGGGAGTTGGGCCCATCTCCTGAACTAAGTCAACTGCTAGTCTGAACTTGAAGTGCAGTATTTACCCATTAAGCAGCACAACTGCTTGGATGTTGGAGCTGCTTTTCTCAGAGAAGGGCCAGTGTTGCCAGGTCAGAAATTAAACTTTCCATTAAAGTGAAGACAAATGGAACTTATGAAATGCAAGGACAACTGCCTTTGTTAGAATACACTAGATGTTTGATATCTCGGATCTAAACCAACACTTGTTAGTGAACCTCTTTGCTTTGAAAAACCAGGAAAAAGTTCTCTCTTAAGTGCACTTTTAAAACGGATCAAAAAACTGCATTTGGGAGGGGAAGCGAGCTGGGAAGACGCAGAAGGGAAGTCAGAGAGCACTCACAAACAGAACTGGAGAAAATTGTAGGGTTCTGAGGAATCCAAAGCAATGACTGCAGTGATGTGGCAGACCAAACAGTATAACAACTACCCAACCTTTTGATTAGCAGAGTAGTTTTTATAGCTCAGGGTGGACCACAGTCAAACCCACGTATGAATCTCAATAGATAGAACAGGCAGAAAGCCACAGAGGTCAGATATTTTCCTACAGACTACCTGAGCAGCCATGATACATGAGCCAGAGAGACAGAGCACCATTTGCTGTTTCCTGAGAACCAAGCTAATTCTCCTGTTCCCTGAGCCCCTAGGAAAGGCAGGGGAATAGCATGGCCTGGTGCCACTGTCCTGGAAGTGATTCCTCCTTCACAGCTTTGCTCAGATGCAGGAAATTGTATAAGCAACATGATGATTCCGTCTGCCTCCCCACAATACATCCATTGCCCCAGGCAGAAATTAGAGATGTTCCCAAATTACCACAACTAATACAGTAACAATGTTAGCACTTCTACAATGCTTGCATTACTCGAGCACTGTACACATTGTAAATAATCCTCACTAGAGTTTTTACCTGTAAAATTATTCTGATTTATAGATTGGGAAGCTGAGGCAGGCATTGGTGCTTTCCCAGAGCCACAGGGAGAATACGTGTCAGTACCGGGATTAGAACTCAAGGGTTCCTGATTCCCTGTCCTGTATAGAAATCACTGGACCCTGGAGAGTAGTGTGGGTACTCACTTTCAAACTCAGCAAGGCCATCTCTGAGCCCTTGACTACAAGACTGGAAGATGCCTTCTATGAGAAAATGCTGGAATTTAACCAGATTCTAGGGTTTATGCCATAGCCACTTTGTCCAAATCCATGTGATCAAAGGGCTACAACTTGGGATAAGGCTAATACCTATTGCCAGGCTCCTCTGGCAAAAGCATACACAGAACTAGCCCCAGTTCTGCAACCTTACCTTAACTATCTCTTATCTTCCTCTACTCCCACTATACACATCAGTATGCAGCTCTTTGTGAACTCTGTAGAATCCCTTTTACTTCCTCCTCTCCCTAGGGGTTTATAGCTACAATTTGTAATTTGGCCATGACACATGTATAGATTCACACATTCTAAGGCCAGAAAGGACCACTACATTCATTTAATCTGACCTCCTGCAAAGCACACACCACAGAACTTCACTCATAATTCCTGCCGCAGAGGGAATTATGCTGTCCTGCTATATAAATGAACAGTATTAGAGAGGCCCAATAAACGTGTGTTTAACAAGAGCGTATCTTTAAAGACATATATTTAACAGCATACCCAGTCATCCAAAATATTTAATGTATGGAGGGGGATGGCTTATAGTTGCTGTGGGGAACATACATTTATATTTCTTGACTTTTCTGCACAAAAATCTAGCCATAAGGTTGCACTCATCATACACTTGTATTAAACAGGAACATTCAGTTGTGTGTACCATAATGTAGAAATCACTGCAACCCTCAGCAGGTAATAATGGAATCTCTCTGCCACAAACCAAACCATGTACCACTGTCCAGCATCTTCTTATGGCTTGGTTAGTACAACAGCTGCCCTTTCAATGATGGCTGAACAGCACTGTTAGACTTCCCCCAGGGAGGGGGCCATGAATGGAGCTGAGAGTTTTTCAAACCAGGCAGAATCTTCAGATTTAGAAAGTGAGGAGAAGGGGGAGAAATGAAGGGAGGATGGAAGTGGTCTGATAAATCCTACCGTGAAGCTGTTGTTGATATTCTTAGTGCTAGATTCTGCCACACTGGCATCTGTCAGATCAACCTCATCAAAAATTATCGACTGAGGAAAAAACAAAACAAAAAACAGAACAGTGAATCAGGTGTGTAAGAAACATCCCCAATGGGGTTCCTATATTAATGTCAGCCACATACTCTCCAGTAGGGATCTGTGTTGAAAGGGACTGGGACTGACAGTAGGAAATAGGACTCACAAGAACAGTTCCATGAAGGCACCAGTGCCCACATTTGCCCCAGCCTCCCTTCTCAGTAAACGCTCAGGGATCACTTTCATGGCATAGTTACATTTTGTTGTTGTTGCTGTAAATGTAGTACTTATGAAAGGAGTAAAATTAACAGCTCTAAAGAATAGACATGGTCAGTCAAGATAGTGACAAGGTGAGTGAGGTAATATCTTTTATTGGACCAACTTCTGTTGCAGAGAGAGAGAGACAAGCTTTCGAGCTTACACAGAGCTCTAAGTCGCTGATATGGCAAATTCTAGGTTTCCCAGGTCTTCCCTTCATCCACATTTTCTCCCTCCTACTTCAGTTCCTATTGGGTTTGAGCTCAGTCCCAACTATAGAGGATAGAGAGGTAGGTCTGACACACAGCATCATTGCTGGATTCCCATACATTCATTGTGTTTTAAACACAACGGAGCATGGTATTTCAAGCTGTGCAGCTGAGTAAATGAAGGCTTCTGTTGTGATAAAGCCTACGGACAGACATCTCAAGGGTCGCTGCTCTCTCCTGGATCGAGATCTCACTGCTCACATACACCCATACACCTCCATCCTCCCAGCCGCCCTTTCCTTTGGCTCAGATGCACACTCAGCAGCTCACCTTTGCAGTTTTTGCATAGTAGAGTGTTCGTCCTCGCAGTTTGAAATATCGCCTCTTCCAGCGCTGGAATGAGCTGGTCTGTTTCATCAGCATCCCCTCTTTTATGACAGTCTAGAAGCCAAGAAAATATAGCGTGAAATTTTATTTACATACAACCCTCTCCAATACACACCACAAGAGGACTACTCAGATTTATATCAATATTCTTAGCACCCTCTGCTGGAAACACTTCACAAATTCATTCAACTGAGCAGGTGATTTTATCAATGTTTTGGACTGTAACAGAAAATATAGCACATCCTGGGGTGGCATTCAAGCCCTGACACTATGATATTATGATTTCACAGGGGCACAGATCCTAGATCTGTTCAGGTGATCTTCTCCAGATGTAACTGTGATGCAGAATGTATAACAGTCATACTCACTGGGGTCACACTCCAGCCATGTCCAATCAGAACCCTGTGATCTTAGAGTGACTATGAACACACACACCTGGTTACACCAGGCCTGTCTATTCCTGCCATGTGAGGCCATCAGCATTTAACAGCACAGGATGTAATCTGCAGGCATACAGGGGTGAAGAGAGAAGCAACAGCAAGGCAGGAAAAGTCTACAGCTTCAGCATTTGGCATTTTTCAGATATTCTTGGCATTGCCTCAGTGCTCTCTGGCTGGCTGCCATTTCCCAGGGCTGAAGTGCCAAAACTCTCTACGCACACTGCTGTGGGTTTTTTTCATTGCTCCATAGCTAGAATGACACACGAGTATAGACACACCCCATACACTCATTCACATACTATGCATATGAAGGCTACACAGATATATTTAGTCCACATTCATTTCATCTTACATCAACAAATACATCTGTTACTCCAGCAAAGGGAAGATGCTGGATACCAAGAGCTACATTAAAATAATCTCCAGTTTCTATCTTTAAAATAGAAAAAAGCAAAAAATTTAGCGCAAAGATTTCAACATTATCTTACTGGCTATGCATATATGCTGTCAGTGCTTCAGAACAGCAACAGCTATAGTGTGGGGTGTCAATGCTCCAGGACACTTTCCTCTCCTCCAAGGGAAACATAGCCCCCAGTAACCCAAATCTGTCAGCGACAGTCCCATCGCATAACACCCAATTAAGAGACAAAGAACAAATGCTTTGGTAACCCTGTTTGACAGGTTATTCTCTAACTGCAGGCTAGGAAAATGACACACATTTAACATACTAGGGATCTCAACGAAACACAGGCTCTAAGAGAGTCAGGTCAACTGATGAGTATCAATTAAGACACAAACCTTACCCTCACTGCATAGTTGCTGACAAGCTACTACACGGATGTGAAATCCATCGGAGAGCTGGTGGGAAAATACTCTTGAATTGTTCCAAGGATTTAATGCTTTTTTACAAATCCTTACAAGGGCACTAAACTTGCTTTTTAACGTGCTTAATCTGCTGTGTAAAGCTGTAACGTGGGGCCTTGTTTTCTTAAACAAATGCAGATTTTAATACTTTCTGCAAACTGGCCTTTGCCAAACTCAAAGCCAAAGTTTCTCAAAAAGCCCTTGGAAAGAGAGTACTGAGTACAAGAAACATTAGTATGACTCAGTACATGCCTCCATAGCACTGGGTCAAGCTAACCTCAAACAAGACAGTGATAATGGGGTGGGTGGCAGCACACTGCTCTTAATACTCTCAATGAAAACCCTGTGGGACAAGAGTGGGCTCCTCCATACGTCCGGCCCAGACACTGTGCTCCTCAATAGTGCCCTTCTGACACCGGAAGGAGAGGAGAAGAGTGGTTTCTTGCCAACGAGCTCATCAATACCTACCCATCATCTCTATTTGAGGTTGAAGAGGTGTGTCTACCGCTAAGACCATCTAAATCCCCACCCCAGCCTGTACCGCTGAAGCACTTCCATGTGGCAAGCACAACTGCGCTCTGCCACAGGCCCATACTCCACTATCTACAAACCAGGAGAACCGGGAGCTCCGCCCAAGTACATCCGCAAGGCTGAGGCCTGGCCACTAGTGCTCTTTCCCCTCAACAGCCCCACTCTCACAGACTCAGCTATTGGCTGAGATACTAACTGTGCCTAACCTCATTCCAGCCAGCAAGACCAGAACCTATGTTTTCTTGAGCACTAAAAGTAATCAAAAATTGTAGAACTAAAGACAAAGTCCTAACTGATGATAAAGGGCTTCCTCTTCCCTCTCAGCTTCACGCTCCCTAAAAAAGGAGTGCCGAAAGGCATTCTGGAAATCCATTTTCCACATGTCACAATGGCGATATATGCCAGAGGAATACACAATATTAGAAAGATCAGGACTATTCAAAATCTCATGGCAGTCTGAATGCTGCTGCTCATCAGCTCAGTACACTGCGGAGAAGCTCAGAAACAAGACCAGAGGGCTGGCCTACAGGTGGTGCTATGCAGCGCTGTGCAGGAAATCTGTGTTCAGTTAGTGACCCTAGTCTGACCCCCCCATTGCAAGAGGGACTGGACATTCCTGGGAGAGGGAGTAGCTAGACGCACTCCCATCCTTAGATGCTTAGGAGGAAGGGTGGTGTTAGCCTGGGACTTTTGAGACCTGGATTTAATCCCCTGCCCCACCACAGCTCCCTGTGTGACCTTGGGCAAGTAACTTAGTCTCGCTGTTCCCAACCTGTAAAAAGAGGATAATAGCATTGCCCTGCCTCACAGGGTTGTTGTGAGGATAAATACATTAAATATGGGAAGATGCTCAGATATTGGGGGCCATATAAATACTTAAGATGGACAGATAAGGGGGCAGCATCTGACAGACTTTGCCAAAAGTCCTCTGCAGTCCTTCTTGGTCAGAAGTATGGGGGGTGGGGGTGGGGGCGCATAAGGTGTTGATAGGGTGATGCAAGTGTGGACAGATGGTGGGAGGGAGAGATTCTTGGGATTCTGACAGAAACAAGGAATAATCTTTTCCATTCATTGGGGGGAAGGGGGAAGAAAAACTGATACCAAACAATGCCAGTCTCTGGGTTTGGTATCCGGGAGAGAATGAGACAAATCATCTAAAGGATCCCTGGAAGCATATCCCACAGATTCCAGTGTCAGCACTCAAGCAGGAGGTCTGCTTAAAGGATGCCAATAGATACCAGAACACATCAAGCGGGTTATTTCAAGGTCTATTTCCAGTGCTCCTTGTTCCAAGACACACTTGCTTTGGGAGCAGCCAGAATCTGACCCTTCCAGGCTCAGCCCACAGCTTCCTGGCTGGCTTGAACTCTTCCCCAGCCCGCAGTCAAAGTACATGTTAGTTTGTAACAGAACGGCATCTCTGCTTTTTCTCACAATCCCCACTTTGTTCCACTCACTCCTTCTACCTTCTGTACTGCTCACATCCCGCTCCCAATCTGATGAGGATGCTCCCTCACCTCCACAGGCGTCACTCACCTCTGCAAGAGACATGCACTCCTCCATCTCTTCCTTTAAATCAAGCTCTTTTTAAAAAAAGAAAAAATACCCTACAGAGTGGTCACCTCGCCCCTCCCTTAAGAAGCAGTTTATGTCACTCTCTAGTCTATAACTACAGAAAACCTCAGCGCTACATAACTCAGACATGAAAGGCCAGTGAGAACCCCACACGGTTCTTGCTCTTTCTCACACACACGGCTCGGGAGAGAATGAGCCTCTGGTTTAGCGCTGCCCATCTCTGCATGAGAGCTGCTGTTCTATTTATAGGCAAACAGACAGCTCAGTAAAAAGTTTGGTGGGTTTGGGCGGAAAGGGCTGGTGATAAGATCAAGATGACTGTATAAAACTTTTCAGACTGCTGCTTTTTTTGTACTGCTTTCGTTTTACAGTCCCTCTCCACTGACAGTGGAATGCCAGTGAGTAAAGTTTGCTGGAGAGAAGGCCACACCCTGTAAGCAAGATGACATTTAATGAAGATAAACTAACACCTGGTCTACGCTACAGAGTTAGGTCGATGTAAGGCAGCTTAGGTTGACCTAACTGTCAGTGTCCACACTACAGCCTTGCTTCCACCAACCTAAATGCCCTGCTACACAGAGAGGCGTAGGGTTTATGTCAGTGTAGTTAGGGCAACACAGTGTCCGTGCAAACGCTGCGTTACATACCGGTACATTGGCTGTTCACTCTCATTCTTGTCAATTTAATAACTCAGTGCTGGAGCTATGAAACTGACAAGAAAGGCTGGTAAACTCTCTGTTGTGAACCCCGCATCCCCCTCACAGCTCAGGCTGTTACCCCAGGACTGCTGGGGAGCTCCATCTAGAGCCCGGCTTCCCCCAACCTCCCCACTGGGCTCCCGCTTCTGATCCAGGCTCCCGGCTCCAAGCCTGTCACCCAGGCTCCAGGCTCCCGGTGGGGAGCGGGGAGCCAGCTGTGCTCCTGCTATGGAGCTCCGTGTGGAGCTGAGAGCCCAGCAGCAGCACCCAGGCTCCCAGCAGGAGTGGAGCTGAGAGCCTGGTCTGGGCTCCCAGTGAGGAGCTCCAAGAGGAGCGGAGAGTCCAGGATCTCAGCCCCTCCCACTGCTCCTCTGAAGTCAGTGGAAGCACTCCTGGTGAGGATATGCACCACCAACAGGAGGGTAGTGTGGACATGGAAAACCACGGTAATTACTGCAGTGGCTGTCAGCTGACCTACTATAGATTGACTTAAGCTTGTAGTGTAGACATGCCCTAAGAAATTGGGGCAATTATTTCTTTCCCCCACCACAAACACACCAGAACCTATAAAAAAGCTTAACTAAGGATCTACAACAGTGGTTCCCAACCTGCGGCCCTTGGGCCACTTGCAGCCCAGCCAGCACAGAGCTGCGGTCTATGTGACATCCTCCGGGCCAGAGAGGTAGTATTGGATGCGGCCACATATGCGGCCCACAATAGTAAATAGGTTGAGAACCACTGAATTAGGCAAGTATCTAGATGAGTTGATGTACCCCCTGGAAGACCTCTGCGTACACATACCCCTGGTTGAGAACTACTGATCTACACTGACCAGACAACTGGCTATGTAGTTAGTAACCAACTGTTGCTTCCGAGTAAGGTGGGGGAGGGGGAGAAAAAAGAATGTAGCTATTGTTCAGTGCTGTACATTGTGGGGAATCCTTCT